TCTGAGTGCTCAGATCTGGTATAGGAAATAGAGAGTGTGCCAGGTGATGATATACTCTTACATGTCTGAGTGCTCAGATCTGGTATAGGAAATAGTGTGCTAGGTGATTATATAGTCTTACATGTCTGTGAGGGTCATGGACAGCTGAACCTGGAAGAGTAAAAACTAAATCTCATCGTTCGTTTGTTCTAATTTCTACCCATCTTTCAATGTGATCTTCACAAGGACACTCACAGCCGAAGCAGAGCGATAAGGGACTCCAGAGCCCAGGGACGATGCCGAGACTGGCCCTCACCTGAAAGGCCTCCTGCAGGGACAGACCTCTGTGCTTCATCAGGTACGCCACGCAGATGGACGCCGACCGGCTGCGCCCGTTCTTGCAGTACACCACGCTGCGCCCGCCGCGGCGGGCCGTGCTCTCGATGGCGTCGGCGCAGTGGTCAAAGTGCCTGTACAGGTTCTCCGCGGGGTCGTCGTAGATGGGCACGCGCAGGGTGCCCACGCGCACGCTGGGGAAGGGCTGCTGCACGGACACGTTGATGCACAGCGTGACGGCCTCCCGGAGGATGAGCTCCTCACTGCAGGCGGACCGGGCGTTGCCGATCAGCAGCGAGTCTGTGATCTTGCAGAGCTGGAGCATGTCCGCTGACCAGTTCGCACACCCTCCTCCCAGGCCTCAGCACTCCAGCAGGACCCTTACAGAAACGTCACTAGAGCAGCGTGGTAGCAAACCTGACACCGCAGAGGAAGCAGTGGATCCTTTCGCATGACCTCATTGCAGGATCAGCCTGTTCTGCAGCAGCAGCTTTCAGGACTGCCAGCAAACTGAGCCCCTCTGCGAGGTGTGTCTGACTCCTCTGCTATATTTACAGCAGTGAGCAGTCAGTCCTGGTGGAAGAGTTTTTCCCAGGTCCTAGTATCCATCCTGCAACACATGGACATGCCTGCTGTTCAAATGCGTTCAATATTAAAAGCAAGTGTGTCCTGAAGGTGATAGATGAGGCCAGGTAAGACTGCAGTTCCAGTGAGGAATGGGTCTGTCACAGGACGGATTTAGAAAACCTAAAGCCTTACTTAGCCACAAACTCTGTTGAAAAACCCACTGCCAGTGTGAACCAGTGAGTCATAACTAGGGTTAAAAAACACATTAACGATAATGAATGTTCCGGGAAGATCTGCAGTTTATCACGACAACGTAAATCTTACTCCCACAGCTGGAAATGGTCTAGGAAATCAATAGAGAAGTTATTATACCAATAAAAAAAAAGAAAATGTATCAAAGCTGTTACAAACCTTTCAGTCTCAGTAGATTTGTTTCATTATACAGAGAGTTCTGGAGGATGTAGTGCAGCGAGCGATTCTTGCTTTGCAGTCCCACAGTGATGATACAAGACTGAACCAGTGATTGAAAGACAGAGAGAGGGACATTGTGAGCTGGCCAGCCCTGACCTCATAAAATGTAATTACCAGGCCTGTGCAATGTTCCCTCCCACTTTCATAGCTGTGCAGCAGGTCTCCAGATTATTTATAGCTCTCTGGAATAGCTACACCAATGGAGCTGGAAGAGAGTGGATCTTTGGGATGCAGACCCCTGAAAAACCCTGGTTGAAATGTAGAACCCTGCAAAAAACATGCAGAAACAGCCACAGCTGCTCATATGAGACAACTTCACAGTATATATAACGCTGGATTTGTACTGTCTGCATTCAAATTTGTTTCCAGAGGCACACGAATACTGTTGAGTTACAATATGAGCAAATTGCAGAACACAGGAAATATTTCGTTATTATTGTTTACAAGGCCGAAAACTCAAATTAATTGGTGGAATTATGTGAACACGAGTCATTCCAAACACATTTTATTAATGGTAGAACTGACAGTCTACACAACACTCTTCTCATCTATTTAAGTTTTGTGTGCCGTTGAAACAGTATAATTTGGGTTTTTGTATTTATGTTATTATGATGGCAGAGTGAGGCCTGTTTACCACGCATGGACCAGTAACTGACCAGTCCCACTGACACCTCCGTATAGAACAAATGCTTTAAAAAATACTACTTACTAATTACCAATTTGAATGTTGCCGCATATTGGCTTAATAATCCCTTCATAACTGTTACACAATAATAATTACTTATATAGCACATTTCTGGACACAGTGATGAAACACATTCATAGATGGGGATTATTAGGAGGCCATGATTGGTAAAGGCCAATGGGAAATTTGGCCAGGACACCAGGGTAACATCCCAACTCTTTTCAAGGGTTGGGATGGAGCTTTTTCAAGGAATGTGCTGGGATTTTGAATGAGCACAGAGAGTCAGGACTCTTCTTGGTTTTATGTCTCATCCCAAGGACAGCACCTTTTTACAGTATAGTGTCCCCATCACTATACTGGGACATTAGGAACCACACAGACCACAGGGTGAGCACCTCTAACACCTTTTCCAGCAGCAACCTTAGTTTTTCCCAGGAGGTCTCCCATCAAGGTACTGACCAGGCTCACACCACCTTAGCTTCAGTGGGTTGCCAGTTGTGAGATGCAGGGTGATATGGCTGCTGGCTTACACAAGGTGTTATAATCATAAGCATAATTGCTTGACAGAGACATGCGCCAATGGCATAGTGTGTACATAAGAGGTTGTGACATTTATTTTGACATCATAGCTCATGGTACAACACGATGCTAAAATGCATCATATCATATTAAAGTCCCAATCTGACATGGTTGCTTTTCTGACAGATATGTTGCTTTGGAGGTAATGACACAGACACAAAGTTTGGGGGCTTAAATCACAGTGGCAGCTTTAAAAACAATGCATATCCAAAGCTGAAGGACTCTTTATGAAGAAAAACTCTTCACATCTGTTTATCTGTTGTTTTGAAATATTTAATTCAAGCTTTATTATTCCCTGGGATGACATTTGTTTTACAACAGAGTCCAACAAAACAGTACAACAAAGACACCAGAATACAGTACAGCAGTAATTCAGGAGATGAGTGATATTTTAACACTGTTTGACAGTGGGATTGCAGAAGACATGATTTACTGTGTCTATTACTGTTACATCTGAGGGCACAGAGGCATCTCCTAGATGGTAGTAATTGAAATTTAGAGTGCAGGGGGTGAACCACACACTCCAAAATGGTCTTAGCCTTTTTCAGATCCCTGATGGTAGAGAGCATTGAGCCATTTAAGGTAACTTGATTTACCCCAGTAACCAGGGCTCTGTCATCAGCAAATTTAATCATATTTCAGTCCATATGTTTGCTTTTACAGTCATTGGTGTACATAATGTACAATAAAAGGGACAAGGCACAGTTCAGTAGAAACGTAGGAAATATAAGATACTTAACTGGAATAAAAGGAACCTATAATACAGCAGAGATTTGCTCATGGAAGTCCAGCTTGTTTGCCCTCAAAATCAATCAAGACCTTTAAAAAATAATATTGTATAACCAGATGAATACTGGAGTTACACATTTACACAGTCGAATAACATTATACATTACAACAGCTCTGATCCAACTAATATAAAGACGTATATATATAGTGCACAGGAACAAGTAATAGGTTTATTCCATGCTGAAAGAAAGAAGAAAGAGAACACAACGTTTCCACCTGAACTATATATATAGTGGGCGTATCTCATTCCAACGGATGCAAAGCATTACTGCAAATCGGGCTTCCGCGTCGTCCAGCTACGGGTGTGATGAGGTCACTGCGTCCTGCGTTCTACGTCATGACGCTGCTTGGCGCATGCGTACCGAAGAGCGAGATGGAGGCCTTGAGTTGACAAGAGAAAAAAAACGCGGAGAGAAATAGGTTAAGAAACTTATAAAATAACGTCGGGGGAAAGGCCACTGCAATCCAGGGAGAGTTCGGGATAGGGGGAAAGATTGTGGGAAGCCTCCCCAGGGCACCTCTGGACATATTGTAGGTGAGTGGCGAAAGAGCTCGCGAGGTGGAGAGGAAAGGTTGGAGATGGTGGGATCGGGCGCCATTTAAAATGCCTTTTCAGAAAATCACAACGGCTGTCCTCTTTGAGGGAAGTCTGGGAGTGGTAATTCATCTCTTAATGAGGTTATAGCCTTACGGTGTTAAGGGTATTAGGTGCTTACGGTGCGTGTTTCAGTTAATATGTTGTCTGCTCCGTTCGTCGTGTGCATGGCGATTGGTGTGTGTCGGCGAGGCGTTTTCTGCGCTTTAATTAAGAGTTAATGCTTGTCCTGCCAACAGCTAAATAATATCTCTAAACTAAGCTGGTCTGGGCCTTGGCATCGAAACCCAATGAAAAAAGTACTTTAATCTCTTTAATGCACTGCTAACGCGTGATAGCGATTTATTTCTGACCCTGCATTAAGGCGCTTATTGTAACTCAAGTAGGTGGTGTCGTACGGACACTCTTTCTGTAGCTTGGTGAAAACCGTGCAGAAATGACCAGGTTTTTACAGAGATCCACACGTGAGGTGTTGAATTTCAGCGCTCAAATTTAAAAGCTCACCTGTTTTACTTTCGGCTTTAAAGAAGGTTCTAGGTAAGGGCGGGTGGGGGGTGTTGTAACTGGAGTTAAAAGATTGTGGCCTTTAATTAATCTGAATTAGCCAATAGCTTTTAATCCAGTGAACGGCGTTTTGATTTATAAGTGTTATTTTTCTTCGGTGAACTTTGTCCCTGTTTAATGAAATTGAGGAAATATCACCAGTTGCTCCAGTGGCCCTGCGGGACGAGTCGTGCTCAGCGGTGTCGTGGTTTGATTGTGCACCACGTGATCGG